CAAGCTTACTCTGACTCTGGTCAGTAGTGAAAAAGCACAGCAGTTGATAGGGAGGGACAGGTAGAGTGGAATCCTCATCAGGGTTGGGAATGTCTTATAATGAATTTGGGTTTGAAATAGGGCGGGCATGGGATACAATGCAGCTTGTTTGGGACTGAGATAAAGGAAGAAAGAAGGGGATGGTGCTGGTCAGGCAATGCTGGAGAGACCATCAGGACTGGCCAATACCAAGCCATATCTTCTCCAGCTCCATTCACCAGAGCAGGAGAAATGGTATCTGTAGCCCAGGGGGACGGGGAAATGGCATTTTCGCATCTCAACCCCTCAGGCCTGGGCAGACTGCCAGAGTGGAGAGCCAGGGAAGCAACGAGGTAGGGGAGATCATTATCAGGAGGAAGGAAGCTCTGGCAGCTCCCACCAGCCTGTTTGTGACAAGCAGGCTCAGGGCCATGGAAGTCCTTTAAGGTCAAAGGAAATGTGATCCTGGATCTGGGGGATGAAGTTGAGACACTCCCTTTACCTTATGTTTTCAGGCCAAGGGGATCCAGCCAGAGCCAGGCCCAGGGCCTAGGTTAGAAGAGCAGTGGTCTAGAGAAGTGGGAGGGGCAGTTAGAGAGGAAGAGAGAGAAGGAATAAGATGCCAGAGCACCTTATAAACAATCTCTTGGCTAGAGAGGTAATGATCTTTATTGCAGCCAACACAGGGTAACTGGCTCTTCAGAGCACTCATTTCTTCATGGGTGAACTCTTACCTAGTTCTCCTCTTGCCCCTGTAATGGTGTCTTCTTTGTTGTCCAACTGGTAGAGTAGAAAGTACACTATATTTAGAGTAATGAGACCTAGGTTCAAGTCCAGGTTCTGCTACTAACTAATTAGACAAGCTCTTTAATTAATTAAGCTTTCTAAAATCTCCATTTTCTCATCCATAAAGAAGGCATACACTCCCTGTCAAGTCTATGTCACAGGGGATTAGAGGATTCACGTGGAGGCTCTACACAAATATGAAGTGGTATTTATTTATATTTTTCTTTGCTTCAGGTCACCTCACTGCCACGTCAGAGCTGGGGAAGACTTCTAGTTCAGGAACAGAAACAGCTGTGTCCACAAATCCCATATGCCCCTTTTCCATTTATTTCCTCCCCTTGTCATGCTGCCATAATGCCAGGGGGCAGGGGAGACATGTGCAAAGGCATAGACCAGGGAACCCACAGCCCTGAGCTTGCTTAGCCCCTTTCTTGGGGATAGGCATCTGGGGAAACAGCAACAAAAAGATGAAAGGCCATCCCTCTAGAACTCGGCTCACCAGAGTGTCAGCTTCAGCCTCCCAGCAGAGGCTGAACCAGGAAGAGCCCCAAGAGATGAGGGGAAGAGAATACTCTGGGTGTAGGGGAGTGGTGCAGAGGCCTGGAGAGGGAATTGAGGCTCAGCAAGGCAGTCTGGAAACCTAAAGGACTCTGTCCAAGTGCACAGGAACCAGGTGGAATTGCTGAGAGTCTTTTTTCTGGGGAGGCTTACAGGCCACTATGTAAGACTTGTTCTGGCGCTTCTCTTTGTACCTGCAGTTCGGGTACTTCCCTGAGGTGAGCTGACACATGGTCAGGGACACGGGTCCATGGCTCTGGTGGCAGTTTTTATCGCCATTCTTGCAGGCTTTGTTGGAGGTCTGGCAGGTGGTGGCCACATGGGAGAAAGGCTCGTGTAGGAAGGTGTTGAGGTCTTTGCACCGTTCTGTGTGCTTGTTGATGTTTTTCATGGCTGAGTTGCATGCTTGAGGGCTGGGCTGCACGTGCTGAATTTGAAACCACTGAGATGGGGTCATGCCCTTGGGTTTGGCACTGACTGGGATCTCTGCCACCCACAGCCCGAGCAGCAGAAGCAACAGAAGGGGGCAGAATCCTGCTCTGGCCGGTGCCATCTCTCCAAGGGGGGAGCAGTCAGAATGGAGGGCAGGGGTCGCTGGGACAGAGGTGTTCAGTCGAGGAATTAGTCCTCCTATACTTGCTCATATGAGCTAATCACCCATCTCCCTACTCGGTTGTCTCCTTTCCTCACTGTCTCATCTCTGCCTCTTCTTCTGTGTGTCCACATCCGCTGCAGTCCCAACACCAACCCTGTGGCCCCATCTCTCATCTTGTATTTCTGCTCCCTTCATTCTGTCCCTGTTGCCTGTCACTCTTTGTCCTCTCCCCTTTCCCTCAAATCTCTCTTTTGTGTCTCCATGTTCCTGTGTCCCCATTCCCATCTCATCTGCGTTCCCATTCTTTTTCATTTTTTTTGCCTCCATCCCCAACATCACTCTCCCCTTTCCCCAATGCGTGTCCCCATCTCCTCTAAATCCAGTCCCTCCTTTAACCATTTTATCACTCACTCGAGTGTACTGTCAGGATCGGAGCCCATCCCTCCTTCTCTGTCCTCACTCCTCCCCAGAACCTACTGCAGCCTCACCTTTGCACTTGGTCTTCGTGCCGTGACTCCTGCTCAGTGGGCTGAGGCGGTGTCCACGCGCTGCTAGGCTGTCAGATCTCTGAGGGCCTCTTCTCACTCCTGAACTCCTTAAGAGCTGGCCTGGGCTATGCTGCGTCTGTTTGGAGGCGGGCTGGGGAGCATCACTGGATCAGGAAATGAATCAGGTTCATGCCTCTCCACTTACATGTCCCAAATATGTGGACACCTAAGGATGCCTGTACCTGCCTAAACATGTTCAGCAATGAGGAAGCTTGAATCGTCACATTCAAAGACTATATTTGTCCCCTGGCCACATGGTTCTAATGACTCTTTAATAGAACACCTGATCCAGGTGTCAACTGAAATCAATTTCAGGAAGAGTTGTCATTTATATCCTCTCATATACACCTATGGTCCACGATCCTGGGAAGAGTCAATCACTGTGATGTTAAGGGTTGCTTCTTCTCTGACCTGAGGTACAGATCGAACAGCCTAGAAAGATGCTTTGTCTGATTCCTTGTCATCTGGAGATACTGCTTACCTTTCGGAGGAGATGGAAGAGACACGAGGGAGGTGGATGAATCATCACTGTCATGATGCCTGGCACCATCCCCAGTAGCAAAGCCATTTCACAATGATTCATGGGCCTCTCCAGTTCCAGGTACCAACCAAGGCCATGTGGCTTTACCTGGAGAAGGCAGCCAACACCTCTCAATTTCACTTGTTCCCTCCCTTTTTTATTGAAAATTATGAAACTTTAATACTTCCCAAATGTTTGTGTTTAAAATGCTATTGGTGTTGCTGCTCTCAACATCCTGCCTTAGTGCTTCCTTCACTTTGTATGTCCTGTTCCTTGTGGTGGTGACAGCTGTGTGTAGCGTCTGGGTCAGTGCTACTCTGGGGGCTCCTGTGAGCTTGGAATATGACACTCAGGAGAACCGAGACGCCAAGACAGAGAAGCATCACCCTTTGTGCGTGAGAAGGCCTGTGAAACTGAGATGAGTAGTATTTTTGTTTTCAGAATTTACCTGTAAGTAGTAGGTAATCTCAGAATCTTGGGCATGATTCATTTATGTAGTCAACAAATATTTATCGAGCACCTACTAAGTAAGTGTCGAGGTACTTGGGATATATCACTGAACAAAAAAGGCAAAAATGGCCAGGTATGGTGGGCCACACCTGTAATCCTAGTACTTTGGGAGGCCACGGCAGGAGGATTGCCTAAGGCCACGAGTTCAAGACCAGCCTGGGCAATGTGACGAAACTCTGTCTCTACAAAAAATTTGAAAAATTAGCCAGGCATGGTGGTGCGTGCCTGTGGTCCCAGCTGCTCCAGAGGCTGAGGTGGGAGGATTGCTTAAGCTTTGGAGATAAAATCTGCATTGAAAAATCATGATTGCACTACAGCACTCCAGCCTGGGTGACAGAGTGAGACCCTGTCTCAAAAAACAAACACACAAACAACAAAAACAAACAAAGACAAAAGTCCCTGCCTTTGTGGAGCTTACATTCCATTGGAGAAAGACAGTAAAAACAAAATGTATACTTTGCTCAAAGTGATAATTGCTGGGGAAAAAAGTAGAACAGTATAGGGGCTGGCGGTCAGTAATTTTATATAAGATGGTTGAAATCGCTGACTCTGGGGCAGAGACTTGAAGATAAGAGTGAACTTGTGATTATCAGGGAGGAAGAATGTTTCAAGTGAAGAGACTAGCACTGCAAAAGCCCCAGAACAGACAGATGCCTAAGGTGTTGGAGGAACAGCAGTGTGTCCAGTGTGGCTGGAGCAGGTGACTGAGAGTTCAGAGAGGAGCCAGAGACAAGGTCATTGGGAAGACTTACAGACCATTTGAAGGCCTGTGACTTTTACTCCGAGCACAATAGGCAACCCTAGGAGGGTTCTAAGTAATGAACAAAGAACTTGTCTGCTTAAAGGATTACCTGGCTGTTGTGTGGATTATAACTGTGGAGAAGTTGCACAACCCATCCTGATCGTAAGGTTTGTGTTCTGGTCCAGCATTTATGATTCTGAGTCAGGAGGATGGGGAGTTTGTTTTGAATCCAGGAGGACATTATTTTAGTAGATGGACAGCACAGCTGTGGGTTGGGGGTCAGGATGAAGGATCTTTAGAAGAAAAAGTGGTGTTGGAGATGAGAAATGCCACTAGATGGCAAAAGAGAATCAAGAACAAATTCACACAGGCCTTTGGCTCTTCTGGTTTGTCCTCAGCGAGGCCTTGGCTAGGGGAACAGCTGTTCACTTCTTTGTTAAGGTGTCCCAAGCTTTGCAGGCTGAACTTCTGGATAGAAGTTCTGGATAGAGAATTATGCCCCTGCTGCTGTAGAAACATGAATGTTAGGAGATAAAACCCACGGTTTAAACCAGGCTGTGTATCAAATGTGTATCAGCAGAGGCCAGTCTAGCCTTTGGAATGGAGGCTGGGCGGAAGGCTGCAAGCTCATTTGAATGCCTAGCTTGGTCTCCTTTCTACTTCTCATTATTCTAGAGTGAGATGTTTTCAAGCCATGATTTAAACTTCCCTCTGCACTTGTGTTTTCCTGACATTGTAATTATCCTAGTTTGTTCTTCAACTCGAGTATGCTGGGCTGTGTAGAAGGCTGCCTTAGGACTGTGTGAAAGTGAAATAAACATGGCCCTACTGCCTCAGTCCAAAGGGAAAAGAGAGTAAAGGTTTAAGTTTGCACATGAAAATTGAAATAGAGTTGAACCTACCATATGTGCAATTCAACTGAAACCTTTGTTTTGCCTCAATTATTTGGATAAGGGAGGTGATTCTGTTTGTGTGCCCAAATTATCCAGCTTCCAAGATCTGCTTCACCTTGTACTTGGTAGGCTAATTTTGCTATTTTGCCTTCACTGCATTCATGGGGCAACAGAAAAAGATGGAGGAAGGGGGACAAGGTTAGGAAGAAGAAAAAGATTCAGGCATCAGGCCAGGGACTGGTTCAGGAGTTTCACAGGAGGGAGAAGAAAGACTTAGAGAGAGCAAGAGCAGAAGACAAAATCGTGGGAGAGAAGACAGAAGGGAAGAAGAAGTCCCTTACACCAGCAGTCTTTACCCCTGCTTCCTTCTCATTCTATCGTCGAAGTCACTGCTGTTGGCCGAGCTTCTCCTTAGGCTGCTGTTTTGTGTGTGTGTGTTTAAGTTGGGGCGGGTGTTGTGAAAATCCCAACAGTGCCAGGTGGACCTCTGCCTGTCTTCCCCACAGGACAACAGCTGCTGCTTCCTCTCGCCTGTGCTGGGAGGGAGTGAAGGGGGAAGGGAGAGAGGAGGGCTGGGCCTGGATTGGTGCCTACCCTTCAGAGCCAAGCCTCTCTGCCTTCCGGAGTTCCACACAGCCTCTGGATACCAATGGAAAGCCCATGAGAGTTTCCTTCCAAGCAAGAGCAGATCCAAGTCCTGTTATCCTAATTTTGTTGGTCCTTTGATAAATAAAGGTAATGGGCTCATTTTTGTAGACTGAGAAAATGAAACATACAGCAAGTTGAGATCAGATGTGGGACTTGCTTCAGGTCCTTGAATTCCCATGACCTTTCCTGGAACAGCTGTGGGTCAGAAGGAGGCAGCACTGACAGAAGTTTAGAATCCTTGGCTCCCAGACCAATGCCTTTAGACAAGCCAGGATGGAGGAAAGAGGAAACTGATTCGGGGGTTCACTGAAGCCTTGTCTCACAAGCCCTCCCAGCTCCCCATTTATGTACAGAGCAAAGTATCATTTCCTTAGCCTGGTAATCAGGGTCTGCCACAAATGGGCAAATCTGTCTTTCTAACTTTATCTCTGACTTTTCTCCCACTGAGTGCCTCAACCCCAGCCAGACGGGTTTCCCCCCATTTTTCAAGCATGTCTTTCATAATCTTCTTTATCTCCACTTAACTTCTAACTTCACCAGGAGATCCATTTCCAAGCCAGGGTTACCCCTGAGGAAAACTTTCTCTGACCCTCCAAATTCAGAGACATCTTTCTCACCTCTAAATTCCTACAGCATTTACTGTCTTCAGAATGTATCATTTTCTGCCTTGAATCACTGGTTATTTCTTCATATGTATGTATTATCTTTCTCATAGACTGTCAATTCCCACAACACGAGGACCACCTGTTATACTTCTTTTGCACATTTCACAGTATATAGCATAATGCCTTGCATATAAGTGACCCTAACTGATTCAACTTTTAGAAGGCATTCTGTCTGCTCCTCAATGATCCCAGTCTGAGATGGGATTGCTACCAGCCCACAGAGATGGTTAGCAGATGAGGAACTGACAATGCAGCTTCTGGACTTCAGCCCTGGGTTTGAGGTGATGCTATGAGAAGAAGGTTGAGATGGCTGAGGCAATCCTTCGGTTTCAAGGACAGCTCAGGAACTGTCCATGACACAGTATATTGTTTGAGCAACTTGAATTGGACAGGGCAAAGGGTAATGCCAATGAGATCATGGTGAGCCCACTCAAGGCAAAATTTTGGGGTTCTCCTCAGTCATAGGGAGTCACCCTTGCACCTGCCACCGTAGCCAGTTGTTCTACAAATGTTTACCGTTGGGGAGGGCAGGGAGAGAATGTGTAAATGATTACATGCAGAGGGTCATCTTTATAGGAAAAACAACTTAGTTATTGTTTCAATGGTGAACTATCAATACACATTTTGCTGGTAGAATCAGCACCATTACAATCAACATTTGTTTAACAAAAATATTTTGAAGTCCCAGATGTTTATCATTTTCATTAACACATAAGATACAAGTAAGTCTGCTTTTGTTAAGAAATTTGATTAGCTAATTATTTAGACCAGGGCTTCACAACCTCAGTGTAATTTACATCTTGGTCTGGATAATTCTTTGTTATGGGAGCTATCCTGTGAAATGTGGGATGTTCAGCAATATCCCTGGCCACAGGCCAGTAGCAAGTCCTGGTTGTGACAACCAAAAATGTCTCCGGACATTATCCAATTGTCCCTGGAACTACTGAATTAGACATATGACCTTGAGCAAGCCACTGTCCCTCTAGAACTTAGTTTTTCATCCCTAGGGTAATGCTTGAGTATGTAAAACCCAGTGTAATGGGACAACAATCCCACTAATCTCAGGCTTACAGAGCACATGACACCATGATGAGGATGTCAGAATGGATGAAGTAATCTTATTCATCAGCACCTCTAGGATAGGATTTTAGGGAACAGATCACCAGGATTGCAGTTGGGAACCCAAAGGCTCATCATCATTATATCATTTAAGTTCTGAATGCTTTCCTCTATAACGTGCTGTTCAGTTTCTGTAACTGTCTGGCAGAAGTGAGTGGTGTTGGGTGTGGGGAGTGAAGAGCAATGATGGGTGGGTGGGGAATGAAGGAAAAGGAAGACCAAAAGGTATAAAAAGTCCCTTTCTATTCTCAGGGAAGCTGCAGCCTTGAGGGACCAGGGAAGAGGTAGCATGATTCAAGGCAGGGACCACAATGTGGTTGGCTTCCTCAAAGCAAAAACTTGAGTCAGCCAGGCTCAGGCAACACCCTGCATCGGCACCCACTCAGTGTTGTCTTGTTGAGCAGCCTGAAGAATACAGATGAGCCACCTGCCCATGTGGGATCTCTCCTCACTTGCTTGACTGTGCCCACTTCCTTGGGGAGGCCTTACAACCAGAGGCTTTCTAAGTGGGACCTCTGGGTTGAGTCTTTCTATGAGCTAGCACCATGAGATAGATGGGGGCGAGAAGGAGTGGTGCAGCAGCAGGGTTCCAGATAGAGGAGACAGCAGGAGATAGGGCATGGAGGAGGTGAGGGACAAGGTGGGAATAAAGCAGGGATGCAGACGCAGTTGCACACATGGGCAGGTGCAAGATCATGGGAAATCTTATGTCCTGTGAGATGTAGCTTGGACTATACCCTACGACAAGCTTGTCCAACCCATGGGCCACGGGCCATGTGTGGCCGAGGATGGCTTTGAATGCAGTCCAACACAAATTCGTAAACTTTCTTAAAACATTATGAATTTTTTTTGCATGTTTTAAGCTCATCAGCTGTCATTAGTGACAGTGTATTTTATGTGTGGCCCAAGACAATTCTTCTTCCAATGTGGCCCAGGGAAGCCAAAAGATTGGGCACCCCTACCCTATGAGAAACAAGCTATTGCAGAGTTTTAGACGAAAGAAGGGACCACATTTTTTCTCTTGAAGTTGAATCAGATATATACTTGAGTTGAGTCTTACTGGAGTTGGAGTGTGTGTGGTGTCCAGGAGAGACAAGAGCATCTGCTGAGAAAGAAATAAGAATGGAAGAGATGGGCTTGGGAAAAGTTTAAGATTGTCAGGGCTGTGTGACTGATGGACTCAGGCTCATACTGAGGACTCACCATGTGCCAGGCACTGGTCTAAAACCTCTTGATATACATCTTAATGGATCCTAATACTGCCATGAGGTAAAAAATACTATCCTCATGAACAGATGAAACAAGGAAGCTTTCAGTGATTTAGTAAACAGACAGATGGTGTGCAGCTTATAAGCTGCAGAGGCAGGATTCAATTCCTGGTCTGTTTTACTCAAAAGCCTTATCTTCACCACCATGCAGGACTGCCTCCCCATAGCTGGTATTGGGGAGGTGGCGGGGTCTAGAATCACTTTCAGGTGTCTTGCATAGGTAACCAGGGAAACTGAGATAGACAACACAGGAAGAGAAACAAGTTGTGAGGAAGATGGATTCCATTTTGGACTGTAGTTTGTGTTGTCAGAAAGTGCCAGTTTAGGGGGTTGTACATGAGGAACACCAATCTGTCTCTCTGGGGCTTTACTCCCTCCTCCTGAGCTATACTGGGGGCCTTGGAGCACTCAGCTTTCTGTGTTCTGACTCCCCTTTTCTGCTGTCCAGCAAAGGTAAAAAGGCTGTCCTAAGAGGAAGCCCCAAATCTGGAAGACACTTTGCAGACAGACAAGGCTGAGTGACCTGTGGAAGTCAAGAGTGAGGGCTAGCAGGCTCCAGGGAGCTAGTTAGCTCTTTGATTGTGATGAAAGGGAAGATGTTGATGAAAAAGATAGGAGTGTGGCCCTTTCCCCAGCATGGCAAACCACTCAGAGACCAACCAACAGTAAGAAACAGATCACGCCAGGCTCTGGCATCCACAGCTTTTCATGTTCAGGTTATGCTTTCAAATCCAACCTGCCAAGTTTGAGGCTTCAGAGTCAGCATGCAGACATTTCCAGTAGTGCTCAGACTCTGACAAGGCCTGAGGTCACAGGTGAGCGCTGTGGATGTGACAGGAGTAAGGCTGATAGGGACTGTGGGGAGTCCACATGGAGGTCTTTGATTCTCAGCCCAGCACTTTGGTGGGAGGCCCCTGAGTACATGCCCTCCTGGGCTCCCGTGAGTGGGATGACAAAGTGGCGAACGCTTTGTTCTCGGAGGGTCAGGAATAAGAAGCACTTTGTTCCTCAGAAACACAACAGTGCTTTCCTACTCACCTTGCCATGAGAGCACAGGCTATGGAACAGAGAAAACATCAAAGAAAGCCCAGACACTTAAGAACTTTTGGCAGGGAGGTTGGAACTAAGTGTTCCAATGACACTGTAGAGGAGGAGACCAGATAGCAATGCCTCTTTCCTCCCACCCATCCAACCCCCTCAGCACAGGGGCTCATCAAACTCAGGGGACATTCCTTCCTCCCAGACTGATCTTTACTCAGAAACCTTTCTAGCCTCTCCTCATCTCCTGACTGTCTTGGCCTCGGCAAGAAGAACACCCGTCCCTACCCAGCTGTCTTCAGCTCCTGTCCTTCCTCCCAGCTGCCAGAGAATTATCAGGTCAGTCTGCTCCTTCTTTCTTCTCTGCATTTTTTACTAGCAGGAGTGCCAGGGGCCCAAGGATAATTGGGAAGAGTCTCTCACCTAAGGCCAGTTAGAGCTCGTATTCTGCAAGTGTTGCAGTTCACAAACTTTGCAGAGGCTGAGATTTCTGTGGTGGACCAAGGGAGCAGGGGTGGCTGAAGGTGGGGTGGCTTCACCTTCAGCTGGGTGGTTGGCTGGGTGGCCTTGGGCAAGCATCTCCTCTTTCTGGGTCATGAGAACTCGGTTATGGGTGAGATGATCTCTAAAGTACTGTTGGGTTGGGAATGTTGGAGGCTCTGGGATGTGGCAGACAGTCACCCCAGGCCCACTGCTGCCCCCAACCACCTTAACTCTACCAGCAGGAGGAATGGCACCAGCTGTGACCCGGCTCCTTTTCCTTCAGCTTGTTCTAGGGCCAACTCTGGTCATGGACATCAAGACGCAGATTGGCAAAAAGAAATTCTATGCTTTAAACATTGACTATCCCAGGGTTATCTTCCCAAAGGGTTTCCAGGGCTATTGTAATGGTCTGATGTCCTATATGCGGGGCAAGGTGCAAAATTCGGATTGCCCAAAGATCCATTATGTGATACATGCCCCTTGGAAGGTCATCAAGAGGTTCTGCAAGTATAGTGACAACTTCTGTGATAATTACAATGAATACTGCACGCTCACCGAGGATTCCTTCCCCATCACGGTCTGCTCCCTGAACTACCAACAGCCACCCACCAGTTGCTACTACGATAGCACCCTGACCAACCAGAAGCTCTACCTACTCTGCTCCCGCAAGTATGAAGCTGATCCAATAGGTATCATCGGTCTCTATTCGGGAGTTTAATTCCTGAGTCATTCCCCAACCTCTACCACCACAGACCAGCCTGTCTCCATTTCCAACACTCTGATTCCTGTAACAAGACTTCCTTCCTGACTTCTGAGGCAGGCAGAGTCCCCTCCCAAGAGACCAGGTGGGTGGGAAAATGTCCAGGGCTTTGATCACCATGCGAAGTGGTGCTATCTTCTAGGTTCTTTCCAGCTTGTTTACCCCCTCTTCACCCCCACCTCCTCATCATCCTCCCTCTCCCAGAGACAGTAAAACCCACCCAAGAAGTTGACTGTGTCCAGTTGGCAGTGACTGTCCACCCACTGGGCCAGATCCTAAGTCCTGGATGGAGGCCCAGGGCCTCAGCTCACACCATGGCAACAGGCACCAGCTCTGAGTCTCACCTCCCCATTCCCACCACCCTTCTCGTCTCAGCCTCCCCTAGTTCCCTTATAATTCCCTCCACTCACCCACCTACTCAGGGGATATGGCTAGCTATAGGAACCTCCCTGAGGCCTTCAGACTCATGTTAGCCTCACTTCCCCACAACCCCCAGTTTCCAGCCTGTTTCTCTCTGTGAAATCATTGTTTCTCCCTTCATATAACTTTCCTCTCCTCTTTCCTTTTACTATGGAGCCTAGGACTGTCTCTCCCCCCAACTCCCCACCACCTTAGTCACCCTGCCTTCCTTTTTCCAACCTCTTTTTCTTCCAGTCTTCTTACCTTGGCTCACTGGCATTTCAAGGTATCTTCTCTCATCCATTCCACAGAGGTTCCTGCTTCCCTTCTCTTCCAGAAGCTCCTCCCAAATCCCCCAGACTCCAGAGTCTGCCCCTGACCAGGCAGGGAATGAGGCAGGCCCAGCTCTAATCAAACATAAATTTCTAAAACCACATCTGAGTACGTAAGATGTAACCATTGGAGGAAACTGGGTGAAGGGCACAAGAGACCCCTCTGTACTATTTTTTTTTTGTAACTTTCTGTGAATCCATAATCATTTCAAAATAAAAAGTTAAGAACATACACCTGACTCCTTTGTGATTTAATTGCTTTTTCTTCAGTGCCCCAGAACTCCTGCTCTTGGAATCCTGGCAGCCTCCCCCATCTGGCCATCTTCCTGAGCTACCCTTAGCAGTCTGTAAGCTCTTCTGTCCCATGTGCACCATGATGGAGGTGATGTGGGGTAAAACTTAGTGCTGGGCTGGGTGTTGAAAATAGACTCTCCTATTACCCTAGCTCTGGAACAAATTTGTAATAGAAGTCAGGCCACCTTAGCTGGCTTCTACTTCTCCACCCAAAAAACCTGAACTGTAACAGATGAGGAAGGTGGAGGGACAGGGAAGGATCTAATACATGATACAGTCATAGTCCATCACATCAGGAACTGCTACACCCTTTTAGGGGGTGGGGGTGGAGAGGTGAATATCAGTAATATGTGAACACAAGTAGCAAATACTTTTACCTCCACATCTGGTTCATTTCTTAACTTCAAATATATTCTTCCATCCTGTTCTTGGAAGCAACTGTTGAGGAGGAATGCTAACTGATGGCTGGTAGGCATAAGGCTAAGCAGAGTGAAGGGTTTGTTGTTGAGAACCCACACTCCTGCGCTGCCTCTTCTCCCTCTCTCTACACTAGTAGGCCCATCTGTCCCTCATAGACAGAGATTTTAGCTGCTGCACACACAGATGTTTATTATTTTCCAAGTTCCCTGGTGTTAAACATGCAGGGTCAGGGGGCTAGTGAGCTAAGATGAAGCTCCTCCTTACTTGGTCTTCTTATCATAGGTGCCAGCACCCTTGTAACCACTCACATAGCCTGTGTTGTCATTCATCACTTCCCGTCCGGCAATGCCCTTGCCCTTGCCACTCTCATCAAAGCGCTCCTTGTGGGTGCCGGTGTACTTGCTGGTGTCTGTCAAACGGTCCACTGCACCCACTGTTGTTGCTTTCTGCAAGCCAGAGGATGGATTTGAACCCTCTTCCTTTCCTTACCCTGTCGTATCCCTTCCCCAAAGATGGCCAGAGATACTTAGAACAAGTGCTTGGAGCTCTTGCTCTGCCACTGGCATGGGGTGCTGCTTTCTTAGGGCCCAGATGCAGCTGTGGGCAGGAACTCTGGTAAGAGCCATTCACTCGTGGGGGAGGAGGAGTGTGGTGTGGGAATGAGTGTGGTGTGTGCAGAGGGAGGGTGGTTTTTTTTTTTTGTTTCCAGAGGAAACAAAAATTATTCTGACTAGGTTGCTGCCAGAGGACTTCACTCCCACTCCCCAACCCAATATCCATTGTAGAAAGAGCTTTTAGTTCAGACAGGACAATTAAAAAAGGGAGTAGGTGAGAGGCAGGAGGCCTGAGATTAAACCCTAAATAAGAACTGAAAGAGGAGTGGGCATCAGGTACCAAATCCTCTACACTAATGTCCTCCAAAAGCCACCAAACCCTACCTGCCTGGCTCAGACACTGGACACTTGGAAGTTAGTCTAAATCCACTATTAAAATAGCCATGGACCTTGGGCAAGTCGCTTCCCTTCTCTGGGCCACATTTTCCTGACTTCTGGAATATCTAGATGATCTCTAAAGTCTGTTTCTTCCCTGTCTCTACAGTCACACAGTTGGCAGGGTTAGGGAGGGTAGACTGGAACAATGGGGATTTAGGGAAGTAGGGTCAAGGGGATGAAGACTGTCACTCACAGTTGCGCCAGTGGTGGTTGGGTCCTTGCCCTCCATGAGTCCATAAATGCTCTCCAGGACTTCATCTGGACTCTTCCCTTTGAAGCGCTTCTGGCCCAGTTCCTTCACTGCCTCTTTGAACTGTTGAAACGTGATGGTTCGGGCGTTCTTGGCCCTGGTCAGTTAGACAGAAATCCAGAAACTTTGGAGCACAAAAGCATTACCTTCCAAGGCCCAACTCCTACCTCACTCAGATTTGTCCTCTTTTGTCCTATCAGTAAGTGTCTCAATGACAAAGAATAGCACAGTGCCAGGTACCCTGTGGTGCTTGGTAGGCCCACTGCAAATGTTCCGCCACATGAACCCTTCCATGGCCAATTACCTCGCACTTTCTTCTCACCCCCACCCCCACATCTTTGGCTCCTCACTTGACTTTGCTGAACACGATGTCCACATCTGTGGAGGTGACCGTCTTGCCATCCATGATGCCACAGTCTTTGCATAGCTTGGAGAAGTTCTTGTTGTTCATTTCAGTGCCACTGCTTGATGATTCTCCAAAGGCAGCAAACCGATTGAATGTTTTCTCTGCCTCTGATGCCATGATCAGCTAGAGGTGGGGGAGGGCAGTCGTGGGAGAGACTTGGGGGTGAAGGAGGAGGGGGAGGGAGGACTGTGGAGTAAAGAGGATGAGTGTTAAGGTAAAATCAGTCAGCAACAGGAACAGCTCCCCTCTTCCCTGTTGGTGTCTCCTCTCTCCCTCCCAGCTCCCACTGCACCTACACAACTACAGCATGAGTCTCCCCTTCCCAGCACTGGAGATCCCAATATGGATCCTACCTACTGAATGATTCTCTCTTTCCCCCACCTCTTTTATGTACCTAAGATTACCTGGACGGTGATCTGACCCTTCCCGGCCTTTGTATTTAAGTGTGTGCAGATATGTGGTAGCCAGTTGGCTGTTGCAAATGAGGAGACAGAGGGAGGAGAGGGAAATTTCTATGACCTCAGCAGTGGTTGTGTGACATCACTTCTGGTCCCAGCTACAGCCCTTGCCTTCAAAGGAGGGGGCTTTTGGTCTCCCTATCTTGCATGCTGAATTGAGCAAACTGCCAACTTTCTAACCTTTTCGGATGATTACATTTCCATCATTTCAGCCAAGCTTACCCATCCTCTGGGTCCCAGTCAAATTGCCTTATGCTCTGCCCCACAACAGAAGTTGAGGCGAGCCCAGGGAAGTTGTTTTAGTTTGTTTGGGCTGCTATAACAAAATATCATAAACTGGGTGGCTTATAAACAACAGACATTTATTTCTCAGAGTTCTGAAGGCTGACAAGTCTAAGATCAAGGCATGGGCAGATTCAGTGTTTCGTGAGGGCTACTTTCTGGTCTAGAGATGGTACCTTCTTCCTGGGTCTTCACATGGTTGAAAGGGTGAATGAATTCCCTTGGGCCTATTTATACGGGTAAAAATCCCATTCAGAAAGGCTCTGCCCTCATAAAACTAAATCACCCCCCAAAATGCCCCATCTCCTAATACCATGACTTTGGGAGTCAGGATTTTATTTATTTATGTATTTATTTATTTTGAGACGGAGTCTTGCTGTCTGTTGCCCAGGCTGGAATGCAGTGGCATGATCCTGGGTCACTGCAACCTCTAGCCCCAGGATTCAAGCGACTCTCATGCCTCAGCCTCCCCAGTAGCTGGGATTAGCCCAGCCACTGTGCCCAGCTAATTTTTGCATTTTTAGTAGAGATGGGGTTTTGCCATGTTGGCCAGGCTGGTTTCAAACTCCTGACCTCAAGTGATCCACCTGCCTCAGCCTCCCAAAGTGCTGGGATTACGTGTGTGAGCCACTGCGTCCGGCCGGGAGTTAGGATTTTAATATATGAATTTGGGGACAACATAAACATTCAGACCATAGCAGTTAATGAAAACAGGCTGGCATTTTTTCCAGTCTCCAGGCTCAAGTGTAGCATGGAGAATCCCACTGGCTTTAAAAGGCCAGTCTCAATAGAAACTTTAAATGGCTTCCAGTGTTGGGTCCAGTAGGCCTTGGAGAGTAACAGATGTGGACAGCTCAGGATAAAACTGGGATGGACTGAGGGTGAGGCTCAGACTCTGAAAATCTTTAGATAAGTTTCTATGCAGGTCAAAGATGTTCCTCAGGGTTTTCTCTCTTCGGCCTTTTCTCTGGCCAGAGGCCCTACAGATAGATGAACCTCATGGATCCTAAAACAGAGCAATGAGACTGGTGACTTTCCTCCTTTTCCCATCTAATAATGCCACCAATTTCTATTTTTTTTCTTTGTCTTACAAATCTACTCCTTTCTTTCCATTCCTATTACTTCCACCCTTATTCAAGTTCTTATCATCTCATAGTTGGATGACTACTCTGACTTCTAAATGATCTCTTTCCTAAATCTAATTCTTCACTCCCATGCACCCATAATCCATCTCTATAACCTCCTCCCCATCAGGTTAATTTTCACAAAGCAGTATTTTTTATTACTTCTGCTCAGGAACATTCTATGGCTCAAGATATACTACAGCTTCTCATGGCTAAATCTTCTTGCTTAGCATTCAAGGACCTGTACAACTAACTAGGCCCCAATCTACCCTGCCAAACATCACCCACCTCTCATCAACATCATTCTTGGGCGGCGCACAGTGGCTCACGCCTATAATTCCAGCACTTTGGGAAGCCAACAAAGTGAGACCTTGTCTCTAAATAAATAAATAATAATAAAAAAATTAATTGCGAGCGGTGGCATGCACCTGTAGTCCCAGCTACAGCTACTCAGGAGGCTGAAGTGGGAAGATTGCTTGAGCCCGGGAGTTTGGGGCTGTAGTGAACTAGGATTGTGTCAGTGCACTCCCACCTGGCTGACAGTGTGAGACCCCATCTCAAAGAAAAAAAAAAATCCCAAAACAAAAACCCTAAGAACCAGTTTATTCTTCAGCTGGGGTCATATGGCCTAACTGCTATACACTTGACAGGCTACTTGGTAGTGCAAGGAGCATAGTCCCTGGAGTGGAACGGATCTGGGTGGGAAAATGAATCCTAGATATGTCATTTACTAGCTGAATGGACTTGGGCAAGTCACTAAACATTTCTGAGTTTCAATTTTCTCATCTGTACAGTGAGGACAATAACACTAACCTTATGGTATTAGGGGATAATATATGGGAAGCTACTATTCAGTTCTCCAAAGTAACCCGAGTGTCTCTGCCTCCAGACTGTCCTTCATGCTCTCTCTCTGCCTGGATAGAATGCCCCTCACGCCCACTCAAGTATTCCATGATTGCATTTCTCATCTTGGTGGTTCACCCTAGGAACAAAGCCCTTTTCCTTCTCTGAATTATAGTAAGAAAATGGTTTCTAGACTGTGGGCCACAGCCTTCTGGCGTGAGGATTTCTGAAATCTTGCAAAGGGCCCTAGAATCTGTATGTATAAAGAGTGAGTGTAAACTGAGTAAATAATACGCCTTGCATGTGTAGGTATTACTACATTTACAGACGTTGTGACAGAAACTTACTTCAAAGTATTGATGAATTCATAGTTTGTATTTTCTCCATCAGAGGATACAAAAACTATTATGTGGGGTTGGAAATCTCTGATCACCCACTCAAGAAGGGTGGGAAACTACTGCTACAGGACTTATTGTCCAGATGATTGATCTTATATATACATAATTTTTCTTAACTTGTCCTGTGTTTGTACCTTCTCTTGACAAATGTCAAAATGTCATTTCTCATCACAAACGTCTAGAGAGGGTGTGAACAGACTCACACTTTGAATTTCATCTACACAGTGGCTTGCACATAACAGATACTTAAAACTGTTGCTTAGTTGAAGGTATAGTTTGAAGCTGCTCTGGCCAAAGGGAAAGAGTTGAGAGAGAGATTGTCCTTGCAACACTTACACCCTGGTCGGGCTGGGAGCTGCCCTGACATGGAAGAACCCTATCTTAGGGTAGAACCAGCCTTACCTCTGCCTGCAGCAGACTGGGTGGGACCCCTACGTCTAGGAAGCCAATGGATCTCAGTGGAAATTTCCCACCTCCTGCCTGCCCTGCGCCCCTGCGTCGGCCCCTTATCAGGTTCCCCCTGAGTCATCCTGACCCAGAGACGAATTTAGATGCTGGAACCTTCAGGTCCTTCCCTCCCCCACTCCAAGTAAGACTACTTTCGACAAAGAAAAGCCTGCAGACAAAGTTCTCACTCCAGGCTCTCCTTCTCCCCAGGTTCCTCTGGGGCTGGTGAGATCTCTCCTGTCTTCCGCACCTTTGGCTATGATCCTTATTCCAGCAGGCTTTTCCTCGTCCAGGAGAGTGTTAAACTGGCGTCCAGAGGGAAGAGGGGCCTAGGAGAGGAGCCAGGGCGCCCAGCTTATGTGCCAGTTTCTGGGGAAAAAGTTATAAAGGGAGTGGGAGAAAGGAACAGAAGAAAAGTTGGGTGCTCCAAATTGGGGAATGTAGTGGGGGCCTTAGATTTGGGGTTGTTGAAGGCTGGGTTTTAGCCCGACCAGTTCTCCAACTCTGGGTCACCTCCTCCCTCTTGGCCTCTCCTTCTTTCCAGTAGACCCTGCCAAGTGGGGATGAAAGGGGCATTGATGTTCCTTGGATGGGAGGGGTATTGCGGGTGGTGAGGGTGGCGGTGGGAGGGTGGTTCCCAGGCAGGAGGGGGCAGGGGAACTTGGGGGTCTTGGGGGGGCAGTCGGTGCTGGTGTTGCAGTTGGCAGCTCAAGTTCCATTGGCCATTGTTCCTGACTGGCCTGACGCCCGGCCCCCGAAATGGCAACTCAGGAACCAGTCTGAAGGGGGTTGGGGTGGATATGATCCTGGGATTGGGGGAGCTACAAGGGGGGCAGGAGGGGAGAAATTCAGTCAGGTTTCCTTTTGCCTAAACAACTTCGAATAATTTCCTTAAGCCACATTATCTAATCAACTACCTCATTCCAGGGAGCCTTCCTCTGAGGGGCACAAAGAGGGCTCATCTGGGGTGTGTGTGTGTGTGTGTGAAGTCTAGAGTGGCAAACCCACTCGGGTACCGAGAGGGACGCGGCAGTCCCTGAGACCATCGCCTGGGCATTGCGATTCAGCGGGCCTGAGCTGGTCTCCTTTTCTGGGCCGGACTGGGAGGGGTTAGCGGCGAAGCCACAGGGTCTCTTGGGTCCCAGCCCGGGACACTGCGTCCTACCCAAGCCCCTACTCCACCCCCGCAGGGTTAACTCCGCCCCTGCGCCTGTTTACCCAGGAGTCAGAGCCTCTGGGGGTCCCCGGCCCCTCCCCCGTCGCCCCTTGAGGCATTGACCCCAGAGTCCCTGTTGGCCATCCTCTCCACCCCCCCGCGTCGCCCGCGATCGCCCTCTATTTATAGCGGCCCCCCGCATTCCCCGCCCCCCCTCCCCGCCTTGTTGTCCAACTTCTCCCGGAGCAGCCGGAGAGCAGGCGTCTGGACGCAGCAAAGAGAGGAGAGGTACCAGGACTCTGGGCACTAGGGAGTCGGAACTGCTGTGCCCTCGACGTTTCCCCGTGCCCCCTTTCGGCGCCGGCACACCTGCCGTTGCCACCGGGCGAGACCCCCGCCTCCTCAGCGGCGGTCCCGCCCACCTCCTCCTTTCTTAATCTAGTTCTCTGTGTTCGGGCGGGGGGATTCGAACTCGTGGGGTGTCAGTATCCCGGGTTCGTCTCCCCACTACCGGTTCCCACCACTGAGCCTGGGGGCGAAGGAAGGAGCCAGAGTGCGAATTGCAGATCCAGGTCATGGATGGGGGCGGTGCTGAGGGCAGCCGAGGGATCCCTCGCAGTGCTGAGGGATCCCCGCACTCCCCACACCGCCCCAATGCGGGGGGTGGGGGGAATGTTATGGTGAGCTCGAGAGGAGCCTGGAAGCGTCTAGCCGCCCGCCCCCCGTGCCCCGGTCCCAGCACAACCCCTCCCTGACCGGCAGTCTGGGCGGGGTGAAAGGTGGGGCGTGTTTACCGGGGGTCTGGGGCGGGTCTGCAGGGAGCCAAGCGCCCGTGGGCGGGCTGGGGCGGGCCGGGGGCGGGTCTGCGGGGAGCCCGAGCTGGGGCGGGCCCGAGTCAAAGGCAAGTGAAGGTGGAAGCGGCAGCGGCGGCAGCAGGTAGGGGGAGGGGCAGGCGAGGGGCCGCAGGGCCTGGAAGGCGCCAGCCGGGTAGGTGGGCGGTGTGATTGATCCCCGTCCCCTGGAGCTGGCGGCTCTGGGGAAAGGGCCGGCACTGAGGGGGCGCTCGGCTGCTGCGCACAAAGCCTGAGGCTCCGAGAGCGGCAGGGCGTGTTTGGGGTGCGCGCGAGGTTGTGTGCAAGGTCCGGGGCGCTTGGCACCAGCCACGCAAGGGTGTCCGTCTCCACGCGGACGGGCGGCGTAGGGACTCGTAGGGACGGGTTCCGGATGCTGGGCCCTGCCAGTCCCCTCTGTCCTACCCATCCCTTCCCGATGGCGCTTGCCTTCGCGGGCCGTCGGGGGAGACCGGGAGGAGGTTGTGGGACCGCCCTCCTCTCCCTTTCTCCACTCGTGGGACCTACACGGAGACTGGGTAGAGGAGAGAAGCGACGGCACCAAGCTTTGTGTTTGTTTTTATATTGTGGAGGGAAACAGCCATGCTCTGCCACCCTCCTCTTACTGGAGAGCTGTCAAAAATTTTGGGGATCCCCTAGTCCCCCGCGTTTAGTCCCCCTGCCGATAGAAAATTGAGGCCAAATGTAGTAACGAACTGGGGCAAGGTCACACTGGGAGTGGCAGAGCCGGGATTCGAATCCGGAGGCTTCCTCCACATCAGCACTTCCTTCTCTCCTCCGCGCAGCCTGAACTGATGCCCCTGTAGCCTGTATTGATTCCGGCTGGAGCCTAGAGAGGACGTGTTCTCTGGACTCAGGAGTAGACACTGGGGAGGGTTAGTGACCCGCGGAGGTTGATGACCCTGGGAGTCTGGGTCTTGGCTGAGGCTTTCTGTAACTAAAAGACCCCGGGTGTGTCTCCCATGTCATTCACCTCGTTGCTGTGTTTTCTCAGACCCCAGAGTCAGGAGTGAGAACCCTGACCCCTAATCCCACTACATCCAGCCAATAGGAGCCCAGTAAGTGACCCCACCTCGCAGGCTGCAGGCTCCTTCCTGTGCAGGTCTGTCCAGGTGCTCTGCTCCTCACCCACTAATGTTGAACTTACGGAGTTTATTCAGAGTTGGGAGGAAGAGTCTTGGGAGGAAGGGAGGCATTGGGTTGGTTGGACAGATGTCCCTTTTATGTTGTTTTCCCCACCTCACCCTTTGGTCATGTTACTTTGGTCATTTTTAGCCCCCTTTGAGCTGCCGACCTTGGGGCTTTACTTGAAGGTCATGGTCAATTGTGAGCTCTCAAAATCCTGTCTTTTGGTACCCTGTCCTTTAGAATATTCAGTCACTGAGCTACGAGTTTCGCTCCCTACCTGAGAGTGTGGAGTAGACCCTAAAGATAGCCTGGGAAATCTGAGCTACGCTTCTGCCCCACCCTGGTATCTTGGTCCAGGGCAGAGGAGGGAGGGGGTCTGGAGGAGTGGGTGTTGAGGGTGGCGGTGGGGATGGTGAGTATCAAGAGAAGCGGTGTCCTGATTCCTCTTCCAAAGTTTCCACCAATCAGCCTGGAAATGGAGCTGGGGGCAGGAAAGGCCCTCTTCGTGTTCTGGAGTAGTCTTCAACCCCTGGCTCCCTCTGTTCCCTGCATCTTCCTGTGCTGAGAGAGGAAGCCTGGTGTTTGAGGAGATGTGGGGATGTGGAGACAACTTCCCAGTCTCGTTTCCTCATCCTACCAGGCATCATGGCGGAGCTGCAGGAGGTGCAGATCACAGAGGAGAAGCCACTGCTGCCAGGACAGACGCCTGAGGCGGCCAAGGTTATTAGAGACCGTTTGACTCCCATGCCCAAATTTGAGACCTCTAAGCATCCCCCTTGCCTTCTAACTTCCCAAGCCTGATCTTATTCTAACCCACAGCACTACTTTCTCCACTTCCACCCTAGTCTCTCCCCATACACTACAATTGGGAGTCAGGCCGTTGTCTTGTCACTACACTAACCTTCATCCTTTCCATGTCTCTCTTTGTCAATCTCTTTCTGTCTTTGGTCTCTGTTGGTCTTTACTTGTCTCTCTTTGTCTGTCTGTCTCTCCATCTGGGACACCACATGGTCGTGTGTTTCTGTGTGTGTCTGTGTGTGTCTCTCCAGGAGGCTGAGTTAGCTGCCCAAATCCTCCTGGACCAGGGACAGGTAACAGTGTGGGGGCAGTCCCAAGGTGGGAGGAGGGGCTCTCCTCTTCCTCAGTAGAAAGATGGCCTCTGCTTGGCCCTTCTCTCTTCGTTTTCTTTCCTTCTATTCTGTCCTTTCCCTTCCCTATCTCTCACCTCGCCTTCCTTCCCCCTACTCTTCTCTCTCTAATCTTCATTATTCTTTCTTATCCTCAAACTCATCTTCCAGTGTTGTGTTTTCCTCAGTTCTTGCTGATCCTGTTTTTAATTCTTTGTTCCCTTTTCCCCCTTGCCCGCCCACTCCCAGCTCCCTGACCTTGGTGTTGCTCCTTTTCTGGCCTCGTCTTCTCTGAGCCTAGCTCCTGGTGCCCTGTTTTCCTGCAGACTCACTCTGTGGAGACACCGTATGGCTCTGTCACTTTCACTGTCTATGGCACCCCCAAACCCAAACGCCCAGCGATCCTTACCTACCACGATGTGGGACTCAACTGTAAGGACCTTCATTCGTCTCCCACTCCTGTCTGGAAAGAGGCTGTGGAGGAAGGGTAGAAACCCAGAGGGAGGGGAGGGGTCAGTGTGGGAAGGAGAAGTTCTCTCCTAGTCTGTGGCATGAAAGGAAGGGTGAGTTCTGACTGGGGCACATGTTTCCCTGTCTGATTCTATTGTTGAGGTGATGTGGGTTCTCTTTAGATAAATCTTGCTTCCAGCCACTGTTTCAATTCGGGGACATGCAGGAAATCATTCAGAACTTCGTGCGGGTTCATGTGGATGCCCCTGGAATGGAAGAGGGAGCCCCTGTGTTCCCTTTGGGGTAAGAGTTAGGTCGTTACCGCTTCACCAGACTGTGAGGAACAGGACAGGTGTGGGAAAGGTTCGACTGGGAAGGAGGAAAGGGAGGGCAGTGGTGATTCTGGGAGAGAATGAGTAGGATATCCTGAGGTGGGGGGTGCGAGGGCAGGTTGGTATCTTCCTTAACGTGCTTCTCTTTTCCAGATATCAGTACCCATCTCTGGACCAGCTTGCAGACATGATCCCTTGCGTCCTACAGTACCTAAAGTGAGAGTCCTGGGAACCCCTCCAAACCAGAGTTCTCTTTCCAGCACAAGGAGACCCTTAGAACTTCCAGGTTCACCATGGTTCCTGAGCCAGTTTCAGCTTCTGAACTCAATATATCTTCTTCCTTCATGCTCCTACCTTGATTATTGAGAAAAGGTGGTGGGTTTGGAAAATTGGCCAGAATCAGCAGAGTAGCCCTAATGGATGGAGGGAAGGAAAAGGGTCTATGCTTGGCCCTGCCTCAGGCTAAGGAGGGCCTTCTCTGATCAGAAAGGGAGGAATAAAAGGGGGTGACATAATCCCTGAGGAACCAGATAGACTTGTCTCTTTCTCTCCCACTCCCCTCTCCTTCATGCCCACACCTGGTGGGTGGGGAGCTCTGTGGGTGAGAGAGAGTGGGGGAAGGAAGAGAACGCCAGACTACGTGTCTTTGGTATTCAGAAGGAGGTGCTGACCCCTGGGTGCTGTTCTTAGCTAAGCTTCTCCTAGACACCAGGGCTCAGCACCTCTGGTTCAGCACTTTGCTGCTCTTTTCCTCATTCTCCCCTTTGTTCACTAAAGTTGTGTCTGTTTTCACATTTGCTTTAAGTTCCATTCTTCCTGTTCCTCTAGAGGAACCAGGAACTAAAGCAGAACAAGTTGAACTGGCTCTTGAAAATTGAGAATGGACAAAGAGCTATCTATATAGGAAAACAGTGTGTTGGTTGGCTGGTGGATGGGTGTTTGTTTTTAAGACACTAGTTCTCCAGGAGAAAGCTGGGATAGACTTCAGGGATCTACCCTGACTACCCGTGCCAACCTTTGGCTCCTTGGGCCCTTCTTTTTCGCATCCTCCAAAGAAAGGTCCGTGTCTGCCCTTCTTTGTGCTCATGGACTCAGGAGGGAGGGTGAAGAGTTTGAAGAGATGGGCTGTGGCAGGTTTTGGACAGCAGAGTCCGTGAGGCATATATTTCTTTCCCTTTCACAGTTTTTCTACAGTAATTGGAGTTGGTGTTGGAGCTGGAGCCTACATCCTGTCGAGATATGCTGTAAGAAATAAAAAGCCCAGATAAGGGAAAGGAGGGTCCAGACTGATTAGGAGAATACTGTTTATTAGTGCTGTTTGGGGGAGGAAGTGGGCACTAGGCGGGGAGTCAGGCTCCATGGGAGTCCAAAAGTGGGTAGGGCTTAGCGGGGAGGGGATAAGGCCATGCCCTGTTTCTCATTTCCTTCCTTCTTCTCTCCCTCAGCTTAACCACCCGGACACAGTTGAAGGTCTTGTTCTCATCAACATTGATCCCAATGCCAAGGGTTGGATGGATTGGGCAGCCCACAAGGTTTGGAGGGGCCTGTGTGCTGAGACCTAGGGTAGGGGATCCCCTTGTATGGATCCAGTTAGGCTCTGGTAGAGTCTAATGCTTGAAGTCTGGATGGACTCCGAACTTCAAGGAGGGAGTAAAGGGGCAGGAAAGTGAAGCTGTCACTTTGCCTAAGTCTCTTATAATATCCTGAACTTTCTTTTTTTTTTTTTCTTTTTTTTTTTTCGAGATGGTGTCTCACTCTGTTTCCAAGGCTGGAGTGCAGTGGCTTGATCTTGGCTCACTGCAACCTCCGCCTCCCGGGTTCAAGCAATTCTCCTGTCTCAGCCTCCCAAGTAGCTGGGATTACAGGCGCCCACCACCAAGCCCAGCTAATATTTATATTATTAGTAGAGACGGGGTTTCACTATCTTGGCCAGGCTGGTCTTGAACTCCTGACCTCGTGATGCACCCACCTCGGCCTCCCAAAGTGCTGGGATTACAGGCGTGAGCCACTGTGCCCGGCCAATATCCTGAACTTTCTCACCTGTCCTCTCCTCATAGCTAACGGGCCTCACCTCTTCCATTCCGGAGATGATCCTTGGACATCTTTTCAGCCAGGTAAGTGGTTGTAGAAGATGATGTGGAAGAGTCGAGGGGTGCAGCAGGGAACTTGAATGCTTGGGCTAACTTCCTTAGCTGGGACAGAATTTGGGGAAGGAAGAAGGCTTACCTCTTTTCCTCCAGTAATTGTTGGTTTCTCTTTCCATCCCTAATGTTTTTCCTTGTTATCTCCTTCAGGAAGAGCTCTCTGGAAATTCTGAGTTGATACAAAAGTACAGAAATATCATTACACATGCACCCAACCTGGATAACATTGAATTGTACTGGAACAGCTACAACAAGTGGGTGGGCTGCGTGTGTATGCATGTGAGAGAAATGCAGAAGCAGTAATTGGGGGTCATGGGGAGGCACACAGGAGGGGAGGGAGGTCTGGGTAGTGTGCAATGTGCAAGGAATGCAGCATTTAGTGTGCAATGGGGACAGCTTCAGGACAGAGCCAGTGGGAGGGATTGCAAGGGGTTGTCCCCCTTCTCTTGTTTACCTCCTTTGGATTATTGGACTTCCAGAAGTAAGATAACCTTGTATCCTGTGCCCTTCCTCCCCTTTTGCTGCCCTCTGACCAGGGATCTAGGGCACAAGTGATTATAGGAGCTGTCCTTGGGGCCTGCCTGCCACCTTCTCCTTTGGTTTCCACTTTTAATAACCAATATTTGACTGTGATTTTTGGGACAGCGATAGTTCCATCATGGGGGAGATAGCTTATATCTGGTTAGATAGCATTGCCAACCTAAAATTCCTACTCTTTTAACCCCTTTCCAGCCGCCGAGACCTGAACTTTGAGCGTGGAGGTGATATCACCCTCAAGTAAGACTTTAAGAGAGAATGCATTGCCTGTCTCCCTGGATCTTCCCTAGGAGCTTGTATCCCTTAGAAGAAGGAGAATCTTTTGCCAGGGAACTTCCTTGTCATGTCCCACCCCATCCTATTTGGTAAATCACTTCCCTCTAGGTCTTCCCCCTTTCAATCCTCTTGGTGGCATCAGCAGGGAAACACAGAAGGCTCTTTTCTCTTTGGAGCCAGACATTTTTCCAGCTGCACTTCTAGGCAGAGGCCAGCGAGGGAGTGTCAGGGGCTCACTGCCTTCTCCCCAACACTGTGTCTTTAGGTGTCCTGTGATGCTGGTGGTAGGAGACCAAGCACCTCATGAAGATGCAGTGGTTAGTAGGGGATTTTGGGATGAGTGAGGGAGGAGGGCTGGGGTCCTAGAGTGGTGGTCAGAAGAGTATCTTGCCAAGGGGATGCCCTGTTTGGCACAGGGAGATCAACTTTGGGGCACTAGGAATTTGATCCCTGGTAAGGAGTAACTGGGTAGGGAGCTGATAGAAAAGGGAATGGGGTCTGGGTTCCTGGGTCCCTTATAGGGGGAGGGGCCACAGTGGGCGTGACTCATTCATTCAGTCTCCTGCTTACTCCAGGTGGAATGTAACTCAAAACTGGACCCCACCCAGACCTCGTTCCTCAAGGTCAGTAACCTGCTCCTGGGCCCCTGTCCAGAGTCATATATCCTCTCTAAATTCAGCTGCTAAGCCTCCAGGGCCCTGCATGGGAACAAATGGGGTGAACGAAGAACAAAACAAAGGGGCTGGAGTGAAGAAGCTAGGGAAGAGAGACCCTTTCCACCTCTCCGCATGGCTCATTTATGTATGTTTCACTTTTTCTGGGTGGCGCTCTCCTGAACAGATGGCTGACTCTGGAGGTCAGCCCCAGCTGACTCAGGTGAGTAGCCCTGCCGTCCATGGGATGGGGAAGTGACATAGGATACTGGTGGCATTGGGCTCTGCCTTTGCCACACACCCCATCCCCACAATGCCACAGCCTCAGGCTCCAGCTCTGCCTCTAACCTCATCTCACTGTCTCCCTCGCCTCTTCTTACTTCCACAGCCAGGCAAGCTGACTGAGGCCTTCAAGTACTTCCTGCAAGGCATGGGCTACAGTGAGTATGGGGACAAGAGATTGCTGCACTGTAGGAGAGATGGGCACTGACGGGGTGGAACTGTTTTAGGTTAATGCCTGGACTTACCACTATCTGCCCAATCGAGCTCATTGATCCCCTGGCTTAGTTATAACTAGTCATAATCCAAGGACCACACCCTGAGTCGCCAGCCCCATTTCCCCACTTTCTCTCTGACTGCTTGTGCATCCTTCTGTCTCCACAGTGGCCTCATCCTGCATGACTCGCCTGTCCCGGTCTCGTACGGCCTCTCTAACCAGTGCAGCATCCATTGATGGCAACCGGTCCCGCTCTCGCACCCTGTCTCAGAGCAGCGAGTCTGGAACTCTTTCTTCGGGGCCCCCGGGGCACACCATGGAGGTCTCCTGTTGAATGACCCTTGTTGCCCTAGTGTGGGACCCAGCCCTCACCTCCCCCAGAACTAACCTGGGAGGTGCTGAAGGGGCATTGGGCCAGAGTAAGCAAGGGAAAAAGGGCAGATCACGTGGGGAGATGACCTTGATCTTTGATTGCTACCCTAACCTTGACCTCTAACCTGTGATTCCCCCCAGCTCCTGAAAGAGATGTCCTAATATCTCTTAGGGACCCAGACCCCTAAATTCTCCTCCTCCCCCATTTTGGTGTTAAGGTGGAGAGGGCATGTATCCTCTGTCCTGATCTAGGTGTCTGTAGCTGAGGGGTAAGAGGTTGTTGTAGTTGTCATGGTGCCTCCATCAGACTCTCCCTACTTATCCCATATTTGCAAGGGGAGGGATTTGGGGCTGGGGCTCCATTTACCAAAGCTGATATGGCTTCTCATTAACCCTTTAGGACTCTGAAGGGTATGGACCTACATGAATGTGTGTCAGGGGGAGACTTGCTGGTGGGTTAGTGCTCCTCAGGATGTGATAGAAACATCCAGGGTGGAAAAAGGAAGTTGGAATGGGAATTGGTGGGCAATGAACAAGTGTCGGGGAAGGATTGGTGCTGGGGAAACAGGAAGGGGCCTGGGGCCATTTGGCTGCACTAACTTTGGTAGCTCTCAGTGTGCATCTAGAGTGGGACTGGGGAGGGAGCTAAGCTTGGGCTGGGCTACTTGGGGCTTGGCATAGAGGTGGAAAGGGCTATCCTGGGGCTCTGACCACACTGTATTATGTGTGGAGGGTGCCCTCCTGTCTCCCACAACTTCTGCTATAACAATAAACTGTAGATGAATTTGAGTACCATTACTATTATTTGTCTAGGTATGCCTGCATCATGCTCTTCTTCCTATCTTCTCCCTGTCCAAGTCTCTTATTCTCTTTTCAAAGTGATATAAACCCTGGGAGAGGGCCTTTGTGGCATAGGCACTTCACAACATATGACCATGTAGAAACTGGCCCTTTTCCAATACAATGGTGTTGCCTTGATATTGATAGTATTTTTAAGCTTGGGAGAGAGGAACCATTTAGATCTTAGGAGACTTCCTTATCAACTATGGGTAACTGAGAAAGGCCACAGGATTTCAGAGATGCCACCACCACCACCACCTTCAAGAAAGAATTGAAGAGGCTGGGCATGGTGGCTTGCATCTGTGACCCCAACACACTTGGGAGGCTGAGGTGGGCAGACTACTTGAGCTCAGGAGTTTGTGACTAGCCTGGGCAACATGGTGAAACCCATCTCTACAAAAAAATACAAAAATTAGTTGGGCTTGATGGTGTACACCTATAGTCCCAGCTACTCGGGAGGCTGAGGTGGGAGAATCACTTGATCCCAGGAGGTGGAGGTTGCAGTGAGCCACAGTCACACCACTGCACTCCAGCCTGGGCGACAGAGTGAGACTCCATCTCAAAAAAAAAAAAAAAAAAAAAAAAAAAAAAAAGA